AGCCGCGTGTACGGGTCCGTGTCGCGCTTGGCGTTCTCCAGGAACAGCTGGCGGAACGGATAACCGGTGGGCTGCGACGTGACATACGCCGTGCCAGATGCGCCGTGTCCGAGGCGCCCGCTGCCACCTCGGGTGAGCAGGCTGCCCTGGAAGTGGTTGGTCTTTGCCACCTCAATCACAATGCGGCCACCGCTGCCCGCGCTGCCACAGGTGGAGCACGTGGCGTCGCCGCCAGCGACGGAGATGGTACCAACACCGTGCATCGTGTCCGACACACGCATGTAGAAGGAGCCGCCACTGCCAGAGCCGCTGCTACCACCAGCATGGGCACCATCGACAGCAACTCTGCCATCAATGCTGGCATCCTGCGTTTCCACGCGGATGAAACCGCCACCGCGGCCGCCGTTGGTGTTGCCGCCGCCAGAGCCGAAGCGGTCCGCCCAGTACACGCAGCCGTGCTCGTTGACATGTGTGCCGGACACGGGCCCAGATGCGCCACCATAGCTGCCGCCAGTTCCGAGCATGAGCCCACCGCCAAAGCCTTGGCCAAAGGCATGGCCGAGGCCCGTGGCGGAGAGCACAGCGCCGTAGCCAACAGTGAACGTGGTTGACGTGAAGATGACATGGCCCGCATCCATCTGCCCACCTGCAGTGAGCAAAAAGTCAACAGCGGAGAAGTGCATGGCCGTATCAGCCACACGCGTGTGCCGCTGCGAGGGCACGTCGCTGCCTTGCACGCCGTCGTAGGCGCCGTCCTCGGCATCTCCTTCAATGGTAACCTGGCCATCCTGTGCAACCTCAAAGTACCGGAATGACAGCTGACCCGGGGGATCGATGAACGTGTATGAGCCCGCGCCCTCGCCCGTGGCCGTGTGACTTGTGCGGCGGAAGCGCACTGTGGCACCGTTGCTGACAACCATCTGATTACCGCCTGTGAGCAGACCTTGCAGGTCCAGGGTCGGCGACACGGAGGTGTCCGGAACCGTCACCCGCTGCGGAAGCACCAGCTCAGCTGAGGGCTCAACGACAAATGCGCTCGGAAGCGAGAGCGGGCGGCTCGATGCGGCGCGCGAAGCAGCCACATACAGAGACACGCCATCACGCACATACGCGCGAGCAGTTGCATCACCAGTGACACGACGCAGGATGATCTTGGCAGTGGTGCTGCATTCAAACGAAACTTCTGCGGCTTCGATCAGGTCAAACACATCCACCGCTGTCGACGCAGTGCTGCCCACGTTGAACGAGGTTGGCAGCTGTGGCCGCACACCACCGTTGCGGAAGACCATGGACGTCGTGGGAATGCCAAACAGCAGCTGTGCCCTGTAGATCGTGCCTGGCGCACCAGCAGTCGCGGCTGACGTTGAGCCGCCGCCACCGAGAGCACGGAACTCACCCGCAAACTGGGACTGGTCGGGCGTTTGCACGGAGATGCGCCCACCAGAGCCACCGTAAGCACCAGCGCCCGTTACCCGACCGCCGTTGGCGGTCATGGAGCCGTGGCCCTTGAGCACGTCCGCCTCGATCAGGATGGAACCGCCAGAGCCCGCGCCAGTGCTCGCGGAGTCGCCATTCACCACAAGTTCGCCGTTGAGAAGCAGCTCGCCTGCAACGTGGAAGCTGATGACGCCGCCGCCGCGTGCAACGCCGTTGGCGCCGCTGCCATACGACCTTGGCCACATTGTGGAGCCGTACGTCACCTCGCTGCGCTGTGGGCCTGAGCCGGGACCGCCGTAGGAGGCGCCGCTGTTGGCGCCAGCGGCACCGGGGCCTGCAAGCTCGCCAAAGCCAGACAGGCCGATGTTGGCGCCGTTGCCGAGGAAAGCGTTGTCGCAGATGAACGTGAAGTTGCGTGTGCCTGAGTCGGGCGTGTCCAGCAGCGCGTTGTAGCCCATTTGGAAGTAGCCGATGCGCAGAATGGGGTGGGCCGTGCCCAGTCGCATGACGGAGTCATCCTGAAGCACCAGAGAGTCCAACACGTAAGTGGTGGCATCACCGTCAGTACCGACGACCGCGCCTTCATCAAGCTGAAGCCGTGCCGACTTGCCAACCACAACAGCAAGCGTATCCAACTGGGCGCCGTCGTGCACAACTGCGCGTGTGTTTGGACCAAGACTGAGGTACGGGCCAAGAACCTGGCCATACACCTCCAAAGCGGGGTTGCGCGTGCCCAGCAACAGCGTCGTGTTGACCAGGTCAAGCACAGCCGTCAGCCCTGGGGTAATAGGTTCCTCCGTATGTCGCCGATGTTGGCGCCGTTGCCGAGGAAAGCGTTGTCGCAGATGAACGTGAAGTTGCGTGTGCCTGAGTCGGGCGTGTCCAGCAGCGCGTTGTAGCCCATTTGGAAGTAGCCGATGCGCAGAATGGGGTGGGCCGTGCCCAGTCGCATGACGGAGTCATCCTGAAGCACCAGAGAGTCCAACACGTAAGTGGTGGCATCACCGTCAGTACCGACGACCGCGCCTTCATCAAGCTGAAGCCGTGCCGACTTGCCAACCACAACAGCAAGCGTATCCAACTGGGCGCCGTCGTGCACAACTGCGCGTGTGTTTGGACCAAGACTGAGGTACGGGCCAAGAACCTGGCCATACACCTCCAAAGCGGGGTTGCGCGTGCCCAGCAACAGCGTCGTGTTGACCAGGTCAAGCACAGCACCCGTGCCCACCTTGAAGTTGGTGTTGCAGAGCGCGTCCTCAAAGTAGTCCACTGTGAAGCGACTGTTGTCCCTCAAGTCAACGGAACCGGCGCGGTCGCCCTTCAGAGTCGCCGCCGTGATGACTGCGTTTGGCTGCACAATGAAGGTGGCGCCGCCACTCACGACAAGCTCCTCCACAGCGACATCACGGCTGTAATCGGGATCACGCAGCGTTGTTGAGCCTTCACCAGCAATGGTCACGCGCTCGCGCCACATGCCGTCAACTTGATCACGCAGGAACACCGTACCAGGCCCAGCACCGTTGCCACCACCATATGCAGTCAGGGTGCCCTCAAAGCGGTACTCGTTGTTGGTGGTGACTTCAACGGCAATGCGGCCGCCAGAGCCGCCATAACCGCCGTTCCGGCCTTTGCCGCCATTGGCCTCTATGACACCTGTAATGCCGTGGAACTTTGGTGTGGTGATCCAAACCGAACCACCCGCACCACCGCCAGCTGCCAGCGGATATCCCGTGCCCGAGGCGCCGTTTGCCTGGATGGTCCCGTCGTGCGTCATTTTTTCGCCCACAATCAGACGGACCACACCGCCACCAAGGCCGCCGTCGCCGGCGCCAGCACCGCCAGCCTCAGAGGGCGCGGTCACAGCACCGTACACGTCATCGTCGTGTTGGGTAAAGCCGCCATGGAAGCCACCACGGCCAGCTGTGGTCGGCGTGCCCTTGGGGTTGGACGCAACGCCGTTGGTGAGGATACGTGAGCCGCCGCGGGTGATCAGGTCCCTGACGCGAACCACCGTGGGCGTGGTTGCGTCGTGCTGCACGGTGATGTACGAGTTGCCCTGCAGCTCAAGGCGGTCGTACTCGTGTTCGCCCGGCTCCAGGAAGCAGTTTTCGCCTGGTGAGAGGGTGAAGCCTGTGCGGTAGTCGCATGAGATGGCATAGGTGATGTTCCAGTACGTGTAGTACACGCGCTCGACTGTCGTTTCGTTCCAAAAGTACGTCTGGTTGTGGATGCGCGTCTCTGTGTACGTGTACCACGACTCGAGATCATCAACACACGTTGCCTCGCTGCTGTGGTTGAGATACTGGGCCCGAGGCCCAAGCACCATCGGCCACGGATAGCCTGTTGTCAAGTCAATGCCGGCCGTACTGTTGCCTGCCGTGCTGTTGTTGCCTGTCGTGCTGTTGCCAAGCATGGAGTCGGTCATGTTGCTCATGGTCAAGTTGAACAGCAGTCCAGCGTAAGGCGAGCTGGAGTTGGCTGACAGTTCTCCTGCCAGGTACAGCTCGAGATCCTGTGCAAACCGACACCCGCCCAGCACAAGCGCGTACGCAGTGTTGTTGACAACCGTCACGTTGTACGGCAGAGAGCGAATATCATGCTTCTCCTCCGTAATCAGCTTGTTGTAGTATGTCGTGTGCGACACATTGCGCTCGTCCACAATGAGCTCGCCCTCGCGGCACGGGTTGTAGACCACATACGACTCGTTGTGGTGTAACTTGACGCCCGTTGGGCACGGCTGGTTGTTGAAGTACTGGTAGCATTTCGACGACACGCAGTCGTCACGGTTGGTTTGCTGGTCGCACGTGCGAGGCTGCCAGTCATACGAGAACACGGGGTCGTACACGGGATCCTCCTTGCAAGTATGCTGGAATCGCTCTGCGGCTGTGCAGTTGGACTCGCGGCACACGTCCGCAAAGAAGTCGTCACAGTCTGGGCCCTTCTCGCAGTAGCGCTCGGGCCGTTCGGGGCACTCCGTCTCCGAGTTGAAGTCGTCGATGGGCTGGTCCTGGCAGCCGCAGGTCTGAGTGACGGGGTGCCAGAAGCACGTGCTGCCCTCAACACGCCCGGCTTTCTCCACATTGACGTTTGGAGCGTCGCGTGCAGGCTCAGGGATGCCGGCAAAGTCGTATGACGCGTTGTAGTGCACGTTCAAGGAATCGACGACGAGACGTGTGCTTAAAGGCGAGAGTGACTTCACCACACCCGTGTACAGCACCGTCACGTTCCGCATGGCGTAGGTGCCAGGCACTGTCTGACCTGATGTGTACCCGGAGGATGTGATGTTCCACTTGCCGTCCTTGCCCACGAGCAGGTGCTCGAGCCCGTTGAGCTGGCCCTGCGAGACCATGGTTGCGCGCAGCTCCACGGTTGCGGGCAGGTCGGCAATGCTGCCCTCCTGCAGGAAGAGGTCAAGGCGGATGTCTCGCTCCTCGTCCTCGCTCGTGGCCGGCGGCAGCGTCACGCGCTGGTCGCGGCCAATCACAAGGCGTGCTGTTCCGCCCGTGCCCAGCAGGTGCGTTGCCGTGAGGGCAGAGGGCTCCCCTGGTGCGGGGTACATGGCCAGCTGCGCGCCATCGCCAACACGCACCTCGTCAAACGAGTACACAAAGGCACCCGTGCCAGGCAGGTTAAGCGTGTCGTCGCCAAAGGAGAGGTAGCTGAACGCTGGGTTGTGTGACACGTCGTCAAAGTCAAATGCTGCCTGTGCGGGGAAGGATGACGGCGTGCGCCCGCCATTGTTCAGCTCAAGAACGGTGTACGTGTTGCCATCCGCCTGGGTGCGTTCCGTGTACAGGATACCTGCAGCGCCCACCTCAAAGCCGTCGCCACCAACAGCGCTGATGGTGCCGAAGAAGCGGGACTGTGTCTCGTCGTAGCTGAGTGAGATGATGCCACCAGAACCACCGCCACCGCGGAGGTTGTTGTACACGCCGCCGTCACCGCCGTCAGCTGCGAGGGACCCAAAGCCGTGCAGCGTCGTGGCGGTAATCCACAGGCTGCCGCCAGCACCGCCACCGCCGTCAACAGACACGCTCTCGCCAGAAACGTCGATGCGGCCCTCCAGCAGAACGGTGTCCGCGGAGATGCGAACGGCGCCACCACCGCGGCCGGCCTGGCCTTGCGACCCAGTGGATCCACCAGGCCCCATCGTCACGGGCGCGAAGATGGAGCCAAACGGTTGCGAGCGTGTCACAGACGTGGAGCCGCGGCCGCCGCAGCCGGCATGCGAGGCGCCGTAGCGGTTGCCCTGCACAGTACCCGGACCCGTGTTTGGCGCATAGCCGAGCGACGCCGCCGTGATGATGCTGTCGACATGCATGTTGACCTTTGTCGACGCAATCGTTGCGTTGCGCACGCGAATCTCGGAGTATCCCTGCAGCTCCAGGTCATCCACCTTGAACGTGGTGGTGTTCATCGTATCCGTGGCCAGCCATGTGGCACCGGCTGACAGCACCAGTCGTGACAGCTCGACCAGGTTCTGCGCACCGCCCTGAGACGGTGACGGAACAATGGCCGCGTCCTCGTACATGGTGACTGTGCAGTCTGAGACCGTGAGCTCGCTCAGGCTGGTGACGCGGCCGCGGTTGTACAAGCTGTTCTTGTGCAGCGTGACGCGCGTGGGCAGACGAAGCTCGCCATCGCGGTACACGCGCAGGTGCAGCGGCAGGTACTCGTTGGACTTTTGAATCTCAAACACCTGGTTGTGGGCGACATGCAGGTGGCCGTAGTTTGTTGGCTCAGCGTCACCAACCATCTCCACAACGCGCACAAACAGCGTGTCCGTGCCGGACGGCAGCTGCATGGCAAGGTGGGCAGACCCATGAATGGTCAGCGTGTCAAACGTGTAATCGACAACCTCACCCAGCGGCGTCACCGCAGCGACGTTGGGCTGTTCCGGGATGGTGATCCACGTGCGGCCCTTGTCATGCTCGATGTCAGAATAGTCCACAAACTCAGACACGCCGTTGGTACCGTCGGCGTCCTGCCCGCCATTGTTGATGGTGAGTGACGTCTTGGTCGTGTACGCGTCCATGGTGTAGAACGTGCCGGATGGCGCGGGCTCGTTTGCCCCAGCCCCACCACGAAGGTCAAGGCTGCCAATGAACTGATTGCCAGGGCACTCGTCAAGGCTGGCGCAGGAGCGGCCAACAGACGTGTACACCGCAGCGCGCCCGCCAGAACCACCGCCGCTCTGAGAACCGCGACCAACGCCGCCGCGCACGGAGATGAGGCCGCTGCCAACGACCGTCCACGCCTCGAGAAGCACAGAGCCGCCGCTGCCAGCACCGCCGGAAACGCTGCCGTCAGAGAGGGACACCTGCGGAGAGGCGCCGTTGCACAGGACCTGGCCGTCGATGCGCAGCTCCCCTGTAGCGCGGATGTGCAGCACACCGCCACCGTAGCCGCCAAAGCTGCCGCCACCGCGGCTGCCGGCCTCCAGCGGGCGCACAACGTCGCCGTAGAAAGCGCCCGTGTCGACCGTGGCCACGGATCCACCGCGGCCAGCGTGGCCAGCACCCGATCCGCCCTTGCTGAACGCAACACCGTTACCGGGCCCAGAAGCGGACGCGCCAGAGAGGTCCAGCACAGCACCCTGGGACACGACCATGTCTGTTGTGTAGATGGTGAGCAGGTCCGCCTCGAGGCGCGAGCCGCCGTTCATGCGAATTGTCGTGGCATTGAACGTGGCGGCCGAGGATGAGGAGCCCTGGCCACCAGTCTCCACAGAGAGGAGGCTGCCACCGGTCATGTGCAGCTCCCCGAGGGCAAAGTTGTCCACGGAAGGCCGCAGGCGCAGCACACCTGCGTTGCCGACCGTGGCATTCTCCACGCCGAGCACGGAGCCGGCAATGTCAAGCGCTACGTCGTTCAGCTGCACATACCCGGGTAGCGACGCTTCGCCGTTCGCGTGCACGACAATGTTGGCGGGCACAAACGCAGAGTCGCCAAGCGCAGCGTCAAGCCGCTGCTTGGGGGCAACGTGGATCGTGCCCGTGCTGTCGCCTTCGAGGTCATCGACATCCACGGCCACCATCTGGGATGGGTGCTGTGGCGCAAACACGACGTGTGCCCCGCCACGTACGTCCAGCTGGTACAGCGACATGGTGACAGAGCCCGCGGTGCTGTCGCTCATGATCACTGCGCGAGCACCGTCGTGCTCAAGGTCGGGGCCGCCGGCCTCCGTGTTCACGGCCGCCATGTCCACCAGCACGTCCAAATTGCCGTTGTCTACGCGAATGATGTCACGGTTCGTGCCCACGGAATGGAGCAACAGCGTACCAGAGCCTCCGTTCTCGGCGAGTGCTTGCCCGCCGCGCGTCACCACATCACCGTCGTAGCTGTAGTCCTCATACCACAGGGCAATGCGGCCACCGCCGCCAGCACCGCCGCCAACGCAGTCGTCGCGCTTGTTGTCGGTGTCGTAGTTGTTCGTGGTCGAGCACCAGCGCCCGTCCGTGTCCAGGACACACTGCTCATGCACCTCGTTGTCGTAAACAAAGCTGGACGCACAGCGCACGCGCGTGTTTCCGTTGTTGATCAGGTAGTCCACCCCGTCGTTCATGCTGGCGTCGCCGCCACGCACGTCCAGTGTGCCCGTGCCGGTCACGACATCCGCCTCAATCAGGATGGAACCACCAGAACCGCCACCAGAGGCGCCGCTTCCAGCACCGCCAACAGCAGCAATGGTCCCATCAAGCGTGGCGTTAATGGCTTTGATGTACACCAGACCACCGGCAGCGCCAGGCGTGCCTGAGCTGGAGGTGCCGCCAACGCTGCCAAACTTTGACGGGCGCCATGCTGAACCGTAGGCTGCGGCGACGCGGTCAAAGGCCTGGCTGCGACCAGCAAGGCCGCCGTGGCTGGCACCGCTCCCACCTTGGTTGGAGTTGTAGCCGTGCCCGTCACCAAACACATTGGTAGCGCGCACGGTGTCTGGCAGGTCGGCCAGCTCAGAGTACGTGGGGCCGTGTGCCGTGAGCTGCGCGCCCGTGTCCATCATGAAGCGAGACGCGTTGACGCGCAGCCACTTGGACTCCAGCGACCCACCGCTCTGCAGATGGAGCACGCGAGCGTTGATGTCCAGGTTTGGCTCCGTCGTGATGGCACTCAGTGCCTGCACCTTGCCCAGGTTGCTCACGTAGAGTGCATCGAGCTCAAGCGTGCGTACATGCTCGTCGATGAAGGCAAGTGTGACGGGTTTGGCTACCTCAAGCTCAGAGACGCCAGAAAGAGAGCCGCCAATGTCAACTGTATTGTACGACAGGCCCTCCAGGTGCACATATGACGGCAGGTTCAACACAGATCCTGTACCTGACGCGAGTGAGAATGGGAATGGCACAGGTGTTTCCTTAATCTCGGAGTGGCTGTTGTCAAACACTTTTAGGCGGCCAGTCAGGTCACCCTGGACCTTACTCACGGCCATGTCAACGCCTGACCCGTCACTTGAGCACACGCCAACAGCCGCTTGCCCATGAATATCAAGGAGATCAAGCTTCAGCGTCGATGATCCAGTCAGTGGATCGCGATCGAAAATGACCCACGCATGGCCGTAATCACTGCTGGTGAATTCCAGACCCGGTACGGCAAGCCCAATGTCGCCATTGCTGACCATCAACTGCCGGAAACGAGACGTTTCATTGCCACTCTGGCGGAAGATCGTGCCGGCGCCACCGATGCGCAAGCTACCGCCGTGGGCCTCGAAGCTCCCAACAAAAAAATCTTCAGTAGCGTACGTCGCGATGCGGCCACCGCCACCACCAGAGCCACAAGAGCCGGTCCCGCTCCCACCGTTTGCAGTTAGAGCACCCAGACCTTCGATGATTGGTGTGATGATGTAAACACTGCCGCCAGCGCCACCGCCAGCATTCGAGCCGCCGTCTGCACCATTGGCCCGTACTTCACCATCAATCTCGACAGTGTTGAGAGCAACGATACGCAGTGCACCGCCACCACTACCGCCGCGCATTCCTGAAGCAGGGCCGCCGCCACTGCCAACGTCCGCTGGAGCGAGAAAGTTACCGTACCCAGGCACCTTTGAGCGGCCGTTTGAGCATGCATATCCGCCTGAACCGCCATGGCTACCACCAGCGGATGACGTGCCGCCGCCGGGGCCGAGGCCAGCCGTCCATCCACCACCAGAGGCATCATAGACGCCGGCAGCCTCCACGGTGAAGTTGGTGGTGTACAGCGACATCCAGCTCACGCGGGCTGTGCCGCCGCCATGCACGACGAAGCTGCCCTGATAGCTGCGGTTGGTGTTGCCGTAGAATTCATCCGGGAAGGCCGTGAGGTTGACGCTGAGCGGTTCGTTGTCGGCGGCGTCACCGGCATACACCAACTCGCCGCTCTCCAGCACGCGAATGCTTGCCATGTTGACCTGGCGAGGCGTGTGCGAGTTCACGGCCACATCCTTGTGCGCGAGCCAGAACTGGCTGTTGCGTGACACCTCCAAATGGCGCAGGCCGTGCAGCTCGCCCTTGACCACCACATCATTATCATAGACGATGGTGTGATCGGGAAGATACAGCGTCGAGCTGGTGGAGAAAGTGCGGATACCCATGGGCAGGATGTTGTCGTCGCCATTCCGCCTGAGCGCACCAAACGACTGGCCATCAAACAGCGTGACATGCCCACTCCGGTCGCCCACAAATTTGTCTACGACAAGAGATTCTTGCGCGATAGGGTACTTGTCAGATTTGCGCAGGGCGATGCTTGCACCACCAAACACGTGCATCTCGTCCAAGTGAATGTTTGTGTCGGTGATGCCCTCCCAATCAATCCACGTGCGTGCCGCATCCCACGCCGTGTCCGGGTACTCATTGTATGTCTCGTCCTGACCCTTTGTGATTGCTATGTGATCAAGCGCCACGTATTTCGGGTTGTGCAGGGGCGGAAGCGTCGATTGAACTGAAACAGACACAAGACTCAGGGTGTCGTTCACAAAGATGCGTGTCAGGTGCGTCCCTGTGCATGCCCCGCCTTGAATGCCATTCTTGGTGATGGAGCCCTTTCGTCCGACAATTGTGACATCCGTGGAAGATGGATAGCGTGAATCGCACCCAGAGTGCACGTCCAGATAGTACACATACACGGGTGTAGTGAACGTGATCTGGAACGACAAAAAGTCGCGGACAACAACGGCGCCGGGTCGGAAGAGAGCAGACAGGTCTGGCATGTCCACAGAAGACGTGACCACGAAACCGTTCGCCAGCGTGTACTTGCGCTGCCCAAACTGCTCGCCATACGACAACTTCAGCTCCTCCAACGCGTTCACATACGGCAGCGCAGGGCGGTTGCCGCGGTTGTTCACGATGAGCGTCTTATGCGCGTCTTGGAGCGGGTCCACGGCGATGGATGTCGCGTTGACGTCATACAACATCACCGTGCCTGCTGCAGCGTCCTCGTAAGCACCGCTGCCGCCACGGGCGGTCATGGTGCCAAGGAAGTACTTGCGGTTGGCGACAGAGACGCGAACACGCCCGCCACCGCCAGCGCCGCCAGCGTACTTTGCGCGGTTCGAGAGCACAACGGCGTTGCCACCGTCAGCGGTGATGTCGCCAGAGCCAATCAGCTCGCCCGCATCAACCTGGATGCTGCCACCAGCACCGGCACCGCACCCGTCAGCAGTGATACTACCGCTGTACCCGTTGGCCTGAATGCTGCCCTCGAGCGTCAGCAGCTCGGTAGCAATGACGTGCAGGAAGCCGCCACCCTGGCCAGCAGAGCACACAAAGTCTGAGTGCTGCGCCTGGCCGCCACCGCTACCAAAGTCCTGTGGATCAAGGAAGTTGTCGTGAGTTGGGGAGGTCATCTGGCGGTAGTACGTGCGACCGCCATTGCCGCCGTGACTGCCGCCGGTTGCGCTGCCTCGGCTGCCACGCACGAAGAGGCCAGCACCCGGGCCCTCGTCGGCGCCGTAGCCGCGGTAGTTGGCGTGGATCGTGCCGTACGCATCGACAGTCACGTTCTTCGCCTTGATGACTGCGTTGGTGGACCGCACAGCGGCACCACCAGAGACAATCACGACATCGCCAACGAGCGTGCGCCGGTCGCGAGACGCGCCAATTTCCAGCAGGCCGTAGTTGCGCACCTCGATCGTGCGAAAGGTGAAGCTGGTGGCAGACGAAAAGTCTGGGTAGTACAGCTCAAGCAGGTACAGCTCAGATCCGTCCGCAATGATGAGGTCGCCAACGTTGTTGAGGACACCCTCCAACCGCACTGTGACACCGGTGAGCTCTGCCTTGCCGCCAAGACTCAGCATGCCACCAGCGTACACGCTGAGATGGAAGTTGATAATGGACCTGTTGACACACAGTATATGCTGGTTGTAGCCAATGTGAAGTTGTGCGGTGGCATCGCTGGTGAGGACGTCTGTGTCCAGAGTGAGGGCGCCATCCAAAGAGGCAGTGGAGAAGGCAAGATCGGCTTCGCCATACATGTGAATTTCCTCCAGCTCATCAACCTGATCGCGCTCGAAGAACAGCCACGTGACAGATGGCACGTTGTTTGTGTTGTCAATGTCGGCGCTGGTGTTCCGCACAACGCCCTCTGGACGCAGGCCCAGGTTGTTCACGTACAACGTGCGGTTGAGTGCAGCGACAGAGGAGTTGGAGTTGAGCACCTCGTACTTGTGGATGTACGCCGTGCCAGAGGCGCCCGGCTCGTGCGGGCCAGTGCCACCTTGCACAAGCATCTGTCCAATATAGTGGTTGTAGTTGGTGTACACGGCAAGACGCCCGCCACTGCCACCACCGCCCTGGGCGATCGAGGAGCACTTGTACTGCAGGTCAAAGTCCTTCCTGCATGCCGGGTTTGGATCGCCCACAGCAACGGGGCTCACTTCGTACGCGCAGAACCACGACTGGTCGCAGAGCTCGCGCACGTGCGACGTGGCTGAGCCAGGCTCCGCACCGCAGTTGGCGCCGTACGTGGCGGTGATGACGTGGATGCCATAGCGGCACTCCAGAAGCACAGACTTACCGCCAGACTCGCCCGCAACGTGGATGGTCTGAATGCCAGTGCCTGCAGGGCCGTAGCCCTCGCCGCCGCTGACATCAAGCAAGCCATGACCGTCAAAAATGTCAGTCTCGATCAGCAAAGAGCCGCCAGATCCGCCACCAGAGCGTGGCGAAACCCAATCACCGCCGCGCGACGTGATCTCACCGTCCACGCGCAGTGTCTTGTTGACAACGAGGTGCAAGCGGCCGCCACCGGCGCCACCAATGTACGGGAACACAGATGCACCGCCACGCGAGCCAAACTCGCGCGGCTGGCGGAAGTCGCCGTAGCCTTCGCCTACCTCGACGAGCTGGCCCAGGCCATACCCGCCGGTGCCACCGTGGCCGCCGCCCGAATCACCAATACCGCATGCCTGGCCGTACGTGCAGGAGGAGTGCTGCGTGGCACCTTCGCCCTCGCCAGCAAAGATGCCATGGCCACTGCCGTCTGGGGACAGGTAGGATGTGCCGTCCAAGGTGATGCGCGCATCGGGCTCAACCTCCACGTCGTCGAAGAACAGGCGGGCATCGTTTGTGTCAAGGATGCCGCCAGCGAAGATGTGCAGGTTGTGTCCCTGCAGCTCTGCCACGTGGCCGTGATGCGACTCGAGATGCAAGTGGCCGCCAATCTTGATGTTGATGTTGCTGATGTCAAAGGGGTCATCGCCCTGGGCGCGAAGCAGATGCACGAAACAATCGCGCTCAATTGTCAGGTGCTCCAGCAGGGCCATGTCGCCCTCGACAGTGATGTTCGTGCTGCGGCACGCCACGTGCTCCGGAGGGGTGAACGACCCATCATCGCGCACGAGCAGCGAGAAGGGGAAGTATTTCGTCTGCAGGCCCGTGTTGTTGCTGAGGTCGCGGTGCGTGGGCGATGTGTCCACGTGCTGCCGCGGGCGCACCACCATGACACCGGTGTTGTCGCCCTCAATGTGGTGCGTCGTCAGCTTGGCGCCGGCACCCTCCATGTTGATGCTGCCTTGGCGGTGCGCGTGCGTCTCGTTGAAGACGTAGTGGTCCTCCTCGTCGAGGAACTGCTGGTCGTCCTCGGGCACAAGCCAGGCGGACCCGTGCGTCGTCACATACTGCGTCTGCGCGGAAGCATCAGGGTCTTCGCTCCAGTACAGCTCAATCTCATTCAGGGCCGTCCATGAGCTACCAGGCGCCCGCTCAAAGGTGATCTTCACGCGCGTCGTCATCGCGTCAATCACAATGGGGCGAACAACACCGTGCAGGCAGTTGCGGGTGTCAACGGGCGAGTCAACCAGCTGCGTCTCCTGCTGCCCGTTGTACACGGACACCCAGTAGCGCACAGCGTACGCGTTGTCGCAGCGCGGGTAGATGAGCGCGTGGTCGAGGTAAATCTCCTGCGGCATGTAAAAGTCAACCTGCACGCGGCTGCCCGATGACGTGCCGAACCAGCTGGTCAGGCTGCCATCCACCAGGCGCCAGGTGTCATGATACGATGTACCGGCAACGTTGGTTCGCACTTCAACGCCCATTGGAGAGTTGTACACGTTGGACGTCGTATGCTGCCCCGCAGACATGTCGAGCTTCTGTACCTCCGCCAGGCGTGGTGATGGCACAAAGTCGGCGTTGTTGTCCACGTACAGGATGTTGTACGGGTCGTCTGGCACGGTGGCGTTATGCACGTAGACGGTACCCGCACCGCCGCGCACAGCGGTACCGTAGCCAAGACCACCAAACGCTTGCAGCTCACCGGTGAAGTGTGCCGTGTGCTGCGTGGAGTTGTGCTCGTTGGCGTAGTAAATGGCCAAGCGGCCGCCGGCACCGCCGCCAGAGCCGCTCTTGCCGTTGCCGCCGTTGACAGCAATCTCGCCATCGCCCTGCAGCTCCTCGGTCTCGATCCAAATCGAGCCGCCAGCACCGCCACCGCTGCCAGTTACAATTGCTTCGCCGCCGTTGGCATGGATGCTGCCATCTACACGCAGGGCGCCCGTGACGTTGAGCCAGAGAATACCGCCGCCGCGCCCGCCACCACGGTTTGAGCTCGTGCCCCGGCCACCACCAGAACCGAATGTGGTGGGGCGAAGCGTCGAACCGTACGCAGGAGGCGAGTCGACACGGTAGCGGGCAAGGCCACCGCGGCCACCGTGAGCACCGCCTGAGGCGTAGGCGCCGTTGGAGCCGGACACCTGCCTCAGGCCAGGTGACAGGCCAGACCCAAGCTCATAGCCACCAGAGTCTGCGCTGATGTGGCCGTACTTGTCGATGACAACGTCGTCGGCAGTAAAGTCCATCCAGTTGGTGGAAATGTAACCGCCAGCACGGATGTTCAGCCTTGATACGTTCAGTGAGATGACCACAGAGTTGGCAGGCGTGTCGTAGTCAATGTGCGTGACAGGGTACAACGTGCCGTGCGGCTTGATGGTCAGATCCGAGATGATGTAGGCGCCCTTGCTGAGACCGGGGCTGGAGCCACGGCTGGTGATGCGCAGCCAGCCATCCTTGTCCAGGGTGATGTCATTGCTGCGTGCAAACGTGCCGTTCACCTCGATGAAGACCTCACGCAGGTTGATGCGCCCGTGAGGAATCATGTTCAACCAGCCTCCCTCGTACAGGTACGCGTTGATGGGGAAGTAGATGTCGCTCGAGTCGAAGCTCACAGTCTGGTTGCGTGCAATGTGCATGCGGCCTGTGCGGTCGCCCGCCACCTCCACCGCGTCCACTGTGTGCAAGGGATGAGCAGTGCCGTACACCCCAGGCAGGATGGCAAGGTGCGCGTTGCCGCGAATGTCCAGCTGTTCAAACATGTAGCTTGTGTCACCAGAATCAGGGTGGAGCCAGGTGACACAGCCAACATCGCGGATATCACCGAAGTTGCCGTCCTTGATGGTGGTGAGCCGGCCGAGGTTGCGGTTCACGGCCCACGGCAGGTGGCGGTCCCCGTTGTCCACGCGCAAGATGCGGTGTGTGTGGGTGCCGTTGCTGCCGGAGAGGAACACCGTACCGGCGGCGCCGTGTTCAATGGGGCTCTTCCCGCCATACGCAGTGATGGTGCCGTTCCAGTTGTGCAGGTCGTCGAACATGCTATGGTAGATGGCGATCCGACCACCAGAACCGGCACCACCGCCATCATCTTGACCATCGCCGCCGTTGGCTTCAATCAGGCCATGCCCGTGCAAGTCGTTGCATGTGATGAAGACGCTACCACCAGATCCACCGCCAGCGTAGGGCGCGTCGGGGGTCTGACCGTTGACGAACACGTTGCCATCAATGCGCAGCTTGTCCGTGTACAGCTCCAGCGCACCGCCGCCGTGGCCGCCAAGACCCACACGCGAAACCATGTTGGCGCCGCGGAATGTCTGCCCCGTGATGTAGTCGCCAAACACCAGGCTCCCGTAATCATCACCTTTACCGCCGTTGCTGCCGTACTCCAATGGCCGGTACAAGTCGCCGTAGGGCTGGCCAACATGTGCTGCACCAGCGCCGTGGCCACCAGTACCACCGTGGCCGCCACCAGAAGCGCCGCGCTGATGTGCCACACCCTGTCCACGACCTTCCTGTGGATCATAGTCGGTGAGGCCAGTGCCTCATCGTTCAACGACTCGCGCACCTCGCGTGACTGGTAGCCGCCATCGTTCAGGTTGATGTTGCCGCCAGAGCCAATCTCCACATCATCGGAGAAGAAGCGCAGGCGCGTGTTGGAGATGAGGTGGCCCTCGCCAAACACGGTGAAGTTGGTGGCGTTGAGCATGAAGCCTTCGTGACCAACCTCGTGCGCAAACAGCTCCAGCGTGCCATCAGCCATGATGGTCAGGTCTTCCAGCAATGCGCTGCCTGGCGTGCCCGTGGCGATGGAGCCGTTGGTGTCCACACGCACAAAGCCGTCCGTGTGCACGTATGCCTCGGTCAGCCCGTACACTTCACCGCTCACGTGCAGCTGCACACCGGTGAAGAAGGCACGCCGTGGGAACGTCATCATGCCACCCTCGTACACGCGCGTGTTGAAGGGGATGTCGGCGCTGGCATACACCACGTCAATGTCCTGGTTCGGGCCAACGTGCAGCCAACCAGTGCGGTCGCCATACGCGTTGTCGAAGGTGATGTGCTGCTGGCGCGACTGCGGATCGGGATGCAAGGCCAGCTGAGCACCGCCAAAGAGCTCCAGCTTGGTAAAGTTGTGGAACTTGGTCGTGTCGGCAGACATGAGCCACGTCTTGGCAGAGTCCAGCGACAGGTGCTTGTAGCGGTCCCCGGGTCCGCGAGCATCCGTGTAGACTTCAATAGCGCTGAGCGCAATGAGAGCATCGCGGCGCCTGAGGCGAAAGACGATCTCCGACACCTCGCGCAGCACGGGAAGCTCGACGTAGGCACCAGTCACGCACGTGTGGCGCATCTCCACGTAGTTGCTCGTGACATCCACGTTCTGCGACTCGCCGGTCAGGTGCGTCTCCACCTTGAAGTCTGTGCGGTACTGGCAGTGCGGGAACACGCGGATGTAAGACACAAACTTGGTCGCACGCAGATCCATCGTCAGCGTCGAGGTGCCACGATCCACGGCAAAGTAATCGTGGTACTCCAGCGAGTACGTGTGCGTGAAGAGGTTGGCAATGTAACGGTTGCTGTAGGTGGCGTGGGACGACGTCACCACGACACCCTGTGCCTCGTACACGGTGTTGCTGCTTGTGGCGCCACCATCCAGGTCGATCCGTGAGCCGCGGTTTGGAATGGCGTCTGTCAGCGCGTACTGCGGGTCACCGGCCTCGTCCGTGTTGTCCAGACGCAGGGTGTTCTCGCCCGTCGTGGTGTGCTCAATGTACACGGTACCAGAAGCACCGGGCTCTGCAAGGTCCGCACCATAGCCGCCGTGCACGTCGTACTTTCCGTAGTAGAACGTGTGCAGCGCCTCGGAAGAGTTGTGGTAGATGGTGATTCGGCCACCACTGCCACCACCGCCGCCGCGCGGGAGATCACCAGCGCCACCTTGCACAGAGATGTCGCCCGTGTGCCCACCGACGAACGCGCCCGTGCGGAAGAGGATGGAGCCGCCAGAACCGCCGCCAGCACCGTCGCGCACGCCGAGACGCTGCCAAATGTTGTCGGAGAGCACCGTGTAGCAGTACACGTTGTCGTTACCGCTGGACACGCAGATGTCCCTGCCATTGAAGGCGGTGCTGCGCACGCCCGAAATGTCCAGCTCCTTGAAGATGTGGTCAAACTCGCCCGTGTCAAGCTCGTACCGGTAGAGGCCGGACGAGCGCACGTCGTAGATCTTGTTCTCAACCACGTGCAAGCCGCCATACAGCGGGGCGCTGTCAAAGTCGTGACGGCCACCCTTGAGCTCGATGGGCGAGCCCAGGATCGCGCCCGTGTCGCGGGACAAGCGGTACACCTTGTTGCCGTAGTAGCACATGGCGTAGACGTAGTCAAAGTCGACTGCAACGCCACCCACCGTGCAGCCCAGGTTGGCCGACCACTGCCTGTCCGTGTTTGGGAAGGGCCCACGCTTCTCCACAACGCGGCGACTCCAACGGGCCAGGTAGTAGAAGTCGTCGCGGTCACCCGTCACCTGCATGATGTCGTCCGCACCGGCGTTGAAGGAGCCGATCCGGGTGTATTCGTCGTCATACCGGAATACGGTCGTGCCGGACCAAGATGGGTACCAGTACTCGCGCAGGGCGGGCATGTAACCGCCACCATAGCTGTATGTCTCCATGGTCTTGACGGGGTGGTCCCACAGCACGACATCTTCGTGCTCAACGACAACGCGCGTGAAGTCGATGACGTTGTAGCTGTCTGCGAGGATGTCGCCGTCAATGTGCGAGATGCCGGACACGTGGAACTCAAGACGCCCACCGCCAGCACCGCCCTGTTCACCGCCACCGCCAGAGCCATAGAGCGTGGCGTTGTAAATGTCGCCATAGGGCTCGCCGTTAGGGAGGAGCCACAGATCGTTGCCGTCACGTCCAGCTCCACGGCCACCACGACCACCGTAGCCAGCACCAGAGTGGCCACGCAGGTTGGCGAAACCGTGGCCCGGACCCTGCATGGCAGAGTAGCCGCGGCCAGAGGCGTTGACAACGCCACCGTCGTCAATGGTGAAATAGTCGAGGTAGAACTGCATGAAGGTTGTGTCGACCAGACCGCCACCCTCCACGACCAACCCAGCAGCCGTTACCTTGAAGGGCTCCGGGTGTGCAAGCGGCTGCAGAGCAGAGATCTTCGAGTCGTCCTTCACACGGACGGTGCCGTTGAAGGTGAATGACATGTCTGGTAAGCCCTGCGACGCGCCGGTCAGGTTCATGTACAGCGCAGCGCCGTGGATGAGGGTGAGGTTCTGGATGTGGTCAATGCGGCCCTCGCAGACCACAAACACGCCGTCCATGTCCGTATCGTGCGCCAGGCCATAGTATCCGCCTTCGTACACGTAGGTGCTGAATGGCGCATCAATATAGCTTCGTTGCAGGTCCATGGACTGGTTGCGGCCAAGGTGGATCACGCCAGTGCGGTCGCCAATCATGTGGCGGTAGAACAACTCCACATCCGTGTACACGGGCTCAGTGACAACAGCAAGGTGTGCGTAGCCACGAATTTGCAGTTCCTCAAAGTGGAACATGTGCTGCCCGCCAGCAAAGCGGTGCGTGCCAGACTCGGACAAGATCCACGCGCGACCACCGTCCTCAGAGAGGTCCTCGTAGTTCTCAATACGCCTCTTGAGGGGCGACTGGCCGTCGTTGTCAATGATGAGCGTGCGGTGTGTGTAGACCATGTGATAGACAAACACGGTGCCGGGGCCACCCGCTTCAAGGAGACCCGCTCCGCCGGCAGCGAACATGCGGCCCGTGTACGTGGCGTTGTTCACAAAGTACACGGCAACGCGCCCGCCGGCACCGCCGCCACCGCTCTTGTTGGGAATGATTGGGTGGAGGTACGCATCGTCCACGTGGAAGTAGCCTGCACCGCCATGCGAGGTGATGTTGCCCGTGCCCTTGAAGGTGTTGCAGTGCAGCCAGATGGAGCCGCCGCTGCCGCCGCCGCTGAACTTGACTTCGGCGTCTGCGCCAGAAGCAGAGATGACACCATCCAGCTGAATCATATTGGTGACGTTGAACCAGAGCACACCGCCTCCACGGCCGCCGTGGGCCGTGTCGTCCATCTCCCCACTACCGCCAGCAGACCCAAAGAGGCCTGGCTCGTAAAAGTCGCCGTACGGCTGTCCAACGCGCGACTGACCATAGCCCGAGCCAGCAGAGCCGCCGTGGCCCGCGCCAGAGGCGCCATTCGCGCTGGCAATGCCCGCACCGGCGTTGATGACGCCGTGCAGGGAGTAGCCGGTGCCGTGGCGCACGTGGTGGCCAAGCCCATCGGCGTTCATGTGACCGCCATCGTCGATGATGAGGTCCTGCCCGAGGAACGTCACCTTTGAACCGCGCATCTCCGCGCCGCCCTCAATGTAGGTGCCGATGGTCTCGATGGTGATGCCGAGGTCGTCGACGGGGTCTGTCTCCATGTGGAACTGGCCCTGGTCGGCGACGCGGAGGTAGTCGAACTTGAAGTGGCTGCGCGCCTGCCCCGTCGTGCGGCCGCCCTCGTTGGCCCAGAAGTCGCCAAAGCGGTGGATGGTCATGTTGCGCACGTGCGACAGGCGGCCAGACATCTGGATGAACACGCCGTGCACGTCCGTGAAGTGGCCAAGGCCCACGTGGGAGTTGTTGTACGCCCAGATGTTGAATGGGACATCAATCTCAAGCCGCTCTAGGTCCATGGTCTGGTTGCCGCCAACGTGCACGGTGCCCGTGCGGTCGCCGATCATGAAACGCGTGTAGATGTCCACGTCGCGCGTGTATGGCGGGTCCGAGAGGAAGGCCAGATGACCGTTGCCGTGCACCTGCAGCTCCTCAAAGTGGAAGCGGTAGTTGTATCCCGCAAACCGGTGCGTGCCAGAAACGGGCAGAATCCACGCCCGACCACCGTCCTCAGAGAGGTCGTTGTACGTGTACTCCTTGCCATCAGCAGCTGTCAGCTCAATGGCGTTCACGTAACGATGCAGGTAGTTCTTGCGCCAGATGGGCTCGCCGCCGCAGTTGTCAATGATCAGGGTACGGTGCTCATGCACGTGCGACCATGCAAACGCCGTCCCAGGGCCGCCAACCTCGTGGGCGCTGCGGCCACCACACGTACTGAAGTGGAAGCCTGTGGACGTGCGGTTGCGATAGAAGTACAGCGCAACGCGGCCGCCCGCGCCGCCGCCGCCAGGGTGCTCAGCGTGGCGATGACCATCGCCACCACGGGCATAAATGGCGCCGTAGCCGTGGATGTAATCGGCGTGCACCCAGACAGAGCCGCCGGCACCGCCGCCGCTCGAGTCCTTCTGGCCCTCAACGCCGTTGGCGGAGATGACGCCGTCCAAAAGCAGGTCCTCAGTGACATTAACCCAGATCAGGCCGCCGCCACGGCTGCCATGCTCGTCGTCAATGGTCTTACCCGTGCCACCAGCGCTGCCAAGCACGTAAGGCTCATACACGTCGCCGATGGCGAAACCAGTCTTGCTCTGCCCGAAACCCTTGCCGCCAGTGCCACCGTGACCGGCGCCAGACGCACCCGTGCTGGAGTCCTTGCCGCGTCCTTCGTTGACGATGCCGTGCAAGCCGACCACGTTGACGCCATCACGCACGTGATAGCCCATGCCATCGGCAGCAAGCGCGCCGCCCTGGTCAATCTGCATGCGTGGTGCAAACACGTGCACGAAGGTACCGTGCATGCGACCGCCGCCCTCAACCTTGATGAACTCGTAGCCGGTAACGTTGATGCCGGGGTCACGCACCGGGTGCGTCTCCATCTCAAACAGGCCCTTGTCCTCGACAAAGAGGTTGTAGAAGTGGAAGTTGGACGCGGGCTCGCCATCAGTGTGCCCGCCGTGGTTACAGTGGAAGCGGCCGTTGTGGTGAATGGTCATGTTGTCCACGCCGACGAGGTTGCCTGCCATCTGGATGAAGACGCCAAACACCTCCGTTGCCGGCGCCAGCACCGTGCGCGAGTCCTCGTACGCCCACAGGGAGAACGGCAGGTCGATTTCCTTGCGCTCCAGATCCATTTCCTGCGTGCCGTGCAAGTGCACGACGCCAGTGCGGTCGCCAATCATGGCGGTGAAGTACAGCGACGCGTTCTCGCCGGGCGTGAACACGACCAGATGGCCCGCGCCATACATCTGCAGCTCGTCAAAGTGGAACGAGTTGTTGCCAAGCGCAAACTCGTGGTCACCGTGGTTGGCCAGGAGCATGGTGCGGCCACCGGCCTGGCGCAGGTCGTCCTCCGTGTAGTCCCACACGCGCCCGTTGGTGTCCTCGTACTTGACGGCGGAGACGGTGCGGTGCAGGTGGTTGCGGCGGCCGAGCGGGGACTGGCCGTTGTTGTCCACAAGCAGCGTCTTGTGCTCGTAGACGAGGTGCCAGATGAACGCTGTGCCGGCTGCACCGGGCTCGTAACCAATGCCACCATACACGTGGAAGTCAAAGTCGGAGGCCGTCCTGTTGTTGACAAAGTACAGGGCAATGCGGCCACCAGAGCCGCCACCGCCCGCATAGTCCAGGTCAAGGCCACCGTTGCCGCCACGCGCTGTGATGTTGCCAAAGCCGGAGAGCGTGTGGCAGTGCAGCCAGATGGAGCCGCCACTGCCGCCACCGGAGCGGGCGTAGGGTGCGTCCTCGCCATCAGCGGAGACTTCGCCGTCAATCAGCACGTGTTCGGTGATGTTCATCCAGATGCTACCGCCGCCGTTACCACCGCGTGGCCGTTAGAAGCGCCGCCAGCACTGCCAATCACCTCGGGCTCGTACAGGTGGCCGTAGGCGAAGCCAACGTACGTCGCACCATTGCCTCGGCCGCCAGTACCGCCGTGGCCAGCGCCAGACGCACCAAAGTTACTGCCGATGCCGATACCAGGGTTGACGGGTCCGTTCACACCGTTGGTGCCGGAGCCATCGGACGTGCGGTAGCCGCGATGGGACGCCGTGACCACGCCGCCGTCCTGGATGGTGAGGTTGGCGGCAATGAAGGTGATGTGTGTGCCGTGAATGGTGCCTCCGCCCTCAACCTCCGTGGCGATGCTGGAGATGGTCATGTCTGCCTCCGTGACGGGGTCCGTGTCCATGAGCACGAGGCCAGAGTCCTCCACCAGCACGTAGTCAAAGTCGTAGTGGTTGCGGCCCGTGTGGTTGGTGCGAGAGCCATCATACATGTGCATTTCGCCGCCGTGGTGCAGCGTGAGGTTCTTGACGCGTCCGATCACGCCCTCCAGGAAGAAGGACACGCCGTGTACATCAGTCACGTTGGCCAAGCCAAGGAAGCCAGACGGATACACACGCGTGTGGAATGGGAGGTCCACGTACAGACGCTCCAGGTCTAGCTCTTGGTTTGGCCCAACATGGAATGTGCCGCTGCGGTCACCAATCATGTTCTCAAAGTACACGGAGAGCAGCTGCTCTGGCGGGTCGGTGAGCACGGCAAAGTGCGCGCCGCCCATGACCTGCAGCTCCTCAAACAGGTACCCGTTGTCCTCGGCCAGCGAGTGGTCGCGTGCGGACGGCGTGATCCAGGAGCGGCCGCCGTCGGTGGTGATGTCGGTGAAGCTTGGGATGCGCGACTTGGGTGCCGGTTGGCGGGCAATGTGGTTGTTGTCGATGATGAGCGTGCGGTGCTTGTGGTGGTCGTGATAGGCAAAGACGGTGCCCGCGCCACCAGACTGGGCGTTGGTGTGCTGCGCTTCACCGCCAAAGGCCTGGAAGCTGCCAATGAACGTTTCGTTGCGGGTGAAGTAGAGCGCAATGCGCCCACCGCTGCCGCCGCCACCGCCACTGGCACCGCCTTTGCCACCGAGCGTCTGAACCAGACCATAGCCGGTGATGTGGTACACCTGCAGCCAGATGGACCCGCCGCTGCCGCCGCCACCTCCGCCGCTGCCGTCAGCTGCGTTGGCGTGCACGACACCGTCGACTCGCAGGCGGCCGGTGACGTTGAATTTGAGGATGCCACCACCGAGGCCAGCGCCGCTCCCGCCACCAACGCAGCCCGTGTGCTCGGGCTCAAACAGGTGACCACGAGGAGAGCCGACCCGCGTCGTCACGGTTGAGGCGCCACCGGTTCCGCCGTGGCCTGCGCCAGCGCCTGACGAGCCTTCGTGGATGGCATCGCACTCCGTGCCTGTGTACGTGTCCGCGCTGAGCACGCCGCCATCACGCACGGTGACATTGCCGGCGTCCACATAGAGGCGAGGGGCATGCACGTGCCCACCCCCGCGGACATCAAGCACGTTGGCTTGCAGGGTGATCCAGGCGTCCGGGTCGTTGTCGTACTGTCGCACCTCGCCACCTGAGAGCACGGTGAGGCTGTTGAAGGAGTACACGGATGGGTTCTGGCCCTCTGTGGCACCAAACTTGCTCAACTCCAGGACGCAGCCGCGACCAACAGTGAGGTCCTCCACGCCGCCAAGGAAGCCGAGAAGCCGGATGGTGATGCCAAAGCACTCAAACTTCTTTGGAAGCTCCAGGTGACCGTAGCGGTAGGCGTACTGGTTCACACGCACTTCACCCAGCTCGGAGAACTGACCCACCATGAGCTGCTGCTCGCCAGTGTGCAACACGCCTGTGCGGTCGCCCTCGAAGCGGTCCACGTGCAGGCCGTACGGCTGCTTCATCTCCGGCATCATGGCGAGCTCGCCCTTGTTGAGGATGCGCACAATCTCAAAGTCGTACTTTGCAGCCGTGAGCGCAGGGAGCCACGTGCGCCCGCTGTCGCTGGAGATGTCGTCAAAGTCTGGCACCATGTCCAGACCGCCCTGGTCGCGGTTACCAGCGTCAACAATCAGCGTGCGGTTGACAACACCAAAGCTGGCGTCGTTCAGGTACACTGTGCCTGCGCCGCCATTGCGAGTTGCGGCATCTGATGTGCCACCGTACGCCTCAAACTTGCCCTGGAAGAGGTGGATGCGCTTGTAGTGGACGGCAATGCGACCGCCAGCACCAGCACCATACGCGCCACCGCTGCCACCGTGCACTTGAATGTGCCCAAAACCCTCAAAGTAGTTGACGTCCACGATGACGCTGCCGCCGGAGGCGAGGGAGCCGCCCGCGTTGGAGGAGATGGTGCCCTCCAACCACAGGCGATCCGACACGACAAACTCCAGAAGACCACCACCGCGGCTCGAGCTGCCGCTGCTGCCAAACGACCTCGGGTGGGTGAGGTTGCCGTACACGGGAGCTGTGGACGTGGCGCCCGTGGCACCGGAGAGGCCGCCGCGGCCGCCATGGGCAGCACCGCAGTTGGAGCAAGTCGGGGTGCCCGGTCCATTGTCTGCTGCGTTGAAGCCGCGGCCGTTGGCGCTGATGCTGCCTTCGTCATCCACCTGCACTTGAACAGCGTTGACAATGAGGTTGTGTGCGAGAACCTGGCCGCCGCCTTCCACGTGCAGCCTGCCGTAGCGCTCGCCCTCGTTCTGCGCGTCCTCCACCACTGTGAGGGTGTACACGTCTGCCTCGTCTGCGACGGCGCTCAAGAAATCAACGGTGCCCGTGTCCTGCACCGTCATGCCGACGCAGGTGAGGTCGCGAACAGAGGTAAGCTGCCACTGCCACGTTGCGCCGTGCGAGACGAGCAGGTGGGCACGGTGCATGTTGGTGAACCCCCACGTGCGAATCGTGCAGGGGATGGACAGGCTGGGGTAGGCCGGTGAGTTCTGGCAGCGCCACTCCACCGTGCGCTGGGGCAAAATCAGGTCCGCGTGTTCGTAGACCTGGGGCATGAAGGAGATGTTGTAGCGCTTCCACGGCTCGACGGAGGTGATGTCCAGCGTCTGGTTGGGCAGGATGTGCAGGTAGCCCGTGCGGTCGCCAACCACCTCCGTGGCGGTGATGCGCGCGTGCGAGTTGTCGTCTGTTGGGTGCTGGAACACGAGATGAGCCGCACCATACACCTCCACGTACTCAAACTCAAAGTTGAATGTCTCCGTCTCTGGGAGCAGGAACGCCGCAGCGCCTGCCTGCCGCACAGATGCGTGGTCTGCATCCGTCTGCATGCGCGACGAGCGACCGCGGTTGTCGGCGCGGAGGTTGCGGAAGTTGTTGGGCCCAACCAGGTACGCCAGGCCCGAACCGCCGTTTTCCCAGCCCGTGCCACCCTGGACGTCTGTCTGGTCGCTGTACCACTTGCCGCTGGCATAGTGGGCGATGATGAAGCCACCGCTGCCACCACCGCCGTTGCCGGCGCCGTTGCCACCGATGACTTGCATGCGACCCGAACCCGTGAGCGAGGTGGTGAGGAGGTAGATGTTGCCGCCCGCACCGCCGCCACCGCTGCCACCAGCGCTGTCTGCGTTGGCGCGAACAGTACCGGTGATGTGCGTGCCCGAGGGCCCGTACACGTGCGCCTGAATGTAGCCGCCACCGCGCGCACCGCTGCCTGACAGACCACCGCCAGAGCCCCAGACGGATGGCATCTGGTTCTCCACGGGCGGGGTGCTGGCGGCGTATCGGTAGTAGATGGTGCCCACGGGAGCTGCTGCGGTCGTGTATGGGGTGCGGCCACCGCGGCCGGCGTTGCTACCGCCAGTTCCGGCACCGCTCGCTGCAATGCCCGCAGCAGGGCCGTAGGTTGCAAAGTGACCCTGGCCGTCCACCGTTACCATGCCGGAAACGACAAACTCGCCAAGCCACAGGGAGAGGGAGCCTGCCTTGAGCACACCGGCGACGTTGAGGAGAGTGGAGTTGACATACGAGTGGCCGGTGCCGGACGCGCCATCGGACGTGATGGACGGGTTGTCAAACGCCAGGTCCATCTCGCCCCCGCTCTCCACGACGATCCAATCCGCGGTCCACTCTGACGCGCGGCCGAGCGGCTCCAGTGCGTGGACGCGGCCGTTGTTGGCGATGCGACACGTGTTGATGTCGTACAGGCGACTCGGGAGAAACTCGAAGTAGCCAGACACGTACATGTGGGTCCACCACGGCTGGACGGGGTTGGCCACGGCCATCTTACCGGCGCGGTACGTGCCTTTGACGTAGAAGTCGTTGATGGCCATGGACGACTCGCCCGTGAAGGTTGCGCCGGCTTGGCGGGTGACCTGGTCCAGGTTCAAGGTGCTGCCGACGTCAACGGTGAGGCCGATCATGACCCCCGCGTTTTGGCTGCGCATGTTGACGTGGCGCCACGCCTCGACGGTGCCGGTGATGTTCCATTGGTCAACACGGGCGAGGTGCTCAAACGCGTCAAAGGTGAGCTTGGACCTGCGATGCACGCCAGAGCTTGAGCCCGACGTCCACGGCAGCGGGAGCAGCTCCACCAGGTTGGCGCGAAGCTCAAACAGGCCCGCGTTGAAGGTACCGTCCTTGATGCGGATGTACACATTGTCGACGGTCGTGCCAATGCGGGACGGCTCATACGCGTACCACGCGCGCGGCGACGCGGCGTGGCCGTCCTCGTCCAAAGTAAGGGTGCCAGTCACCTCCAGGAACTCTGTGGCGTTGAGGTTGATGGGCCGACGCGCCTTCATGAGGCCGCTGACCATCAGGTTGCTGTACATGTGTTTCTGCCCAGGGAACGCTGGGTCCAGCGTGTACGTGCCGGAGATGGTTGCGGCGGGCACTGTCTCGTACACGATGGAGACCTGACCAGCGGAGAAGGTACCGGCCACGGTGAGCGTTTCAACGCAGTAGGATGAGCCCTCTGCGTCCGACCAGTCGTGACTTGGTGTGTCGTGCCCAAGGTCATCGAAGATGAGAAAGCTGTTGGGATGAATGGTGATGCTTTGGACGCGGCCCATGTCATGCTGGCTGCGCAAGTTGACGGTGCGCAACACCTCCACCCGCCCGTCAATGTTCACCACGTCCGCGCGCCAGTACTTGTTGGCTGCGTCAAACGTGACGTAGCCGCCGTCAACCTTGAACAGCTGCGAGCGGAAGCGCATGTACCCGGCCTTGAGCGTGCCGCTGACGATGATCTGCACGTTGTCCAGGACGTGGCCAATGCGAGACGGGGTGTACGCGTCCCAGGCGCCCGGCGAGAGCGCGTGGCCGTCGAGGTCAATGGTCATGTCTCCAGAGACGCTCAGCTGCGCCGTGGTGTTGAAGCAGGCCGGGCGACGCACGCGCACGGTGCCGTCGACGTTAATCACGGCAAACAGCGCGTCCGCACCGGGATAGGGGGGATCGAACGTGAACAGGCCGGCGGCGTACCGGAGAGGGTTGACGCTCGTCTGCGTCTTGCCAACGGTGAGCGTGTCCGTGCCTGGAAGCAGCGTCTCCAGGCGGCCGGCGTTTAGCGTGCCGTGCACGGTGATGGCGTCAAAGTGCAACAGGGAGGAGGAGACCCCCGTCCATGCGTGATCCTGCGTGGCATGGCCGAGATCATCCAGGGTCATGGTACCACCATAGTGCACACTGAGGTACGTGGCACGGGTGCTGCGATCTTGGTTGCGGATGCGGACCTGGCGGCGCACCGTCACCGTCCCGTACACGTCCATTTCGTCCACGTATGCCTTGAAGTCGTGCGCGTCAAAGGTGAGGGTACCACGAACGGTGAGCTTTGCTGCGCGCAGCGAGAGGTACCCGGCATTGACGGTGGCGCCGTTGGCAATGGTGATGCTGATGCCCTCGACGGAGCGGCCGATGACAGACTCGTCGTACTGGTCCCACGTGCCCGGGTTGTTGTGCCCGTCAGCGTCCAGCTTGAGGGTGCCGGTCACGTCGAGGGACGTGAGCGTCTGCAGGTCCACGGAGCGACGCACGGTCAGCGTGCCGGAGACGGTGACGGAGGCGAACAAGGCCACGGCGCCCGGCTGCGGTGGATCGAAGTCCATGCTGCCGGAGACAACGAGGGTGGACGCGCCAGGCATGATTGTCTCCAGCCTGCCCGCTTGCAGGACACCGCCAATTTCAATGGACTCCGCATGCAGGAGCGAAGATGCGGTGCCGCTCCAATCGTGGTTGGGCGTGTTGTAGCCCAAGACATCGAGGATGGCCTGACCGCCCGAGAAGACCTTGAACGACGTCATGCGCGTGACGCGGTCCACGTTGCGGAAACGCGCCTGGCGAAGCACGTTCAGGTGGCCCCTAACCACAACACTGTTGACAAACGCATCGTGGGCATACGCGGCATCCATGGTCACAAGACCGGAGGACGTGATGCTCAGCGAGTCAGCGCGGAGCACAACGTACCCCGCCTTGAATGTGCCCGAGACTGTGATCGCGAGGTCGTTCACAAGCGCGCCAAGCGCCGATGGAGGGTTGGCCTGCCAGGCGGGGGCAGTGCCCGCAGTGTGGCTGTCGTCGTCAAGCACCAACGTGCCGCTTACCGTCAGCGTGTCTGTGGTGGTGAGGTTGACTGGGCGACGCGCCTTCAGGCTGCCAGACACGTCCATGCTGGCAAACTTGGTGATGGCGCCGGGCTGTGGCGGGTCAAAGGTCATGCTTCCAGTGACGGTGAGCGTGTCTGTGCCGCTGCCGACGGTTTCGAGTCGACCCGCAGCGAAACTGCCCTGCACGGTGATGGTGGCCGCGTGCACCAGGGAGGTTGCAGCACCGCTCCACACGTGGCCCGCGGTGCCGTGGCCGAGCACATCAAACGTGACGTCGCCGGAAGGGGTGACGAGGAACGATGCCATGCGGCTGGTGCCATCCCTGGCATGCAAGCGCACCTGTGTCCGCGCGTCCAGCGAGCCGCGCACAGTCACCGTGGTGATGTGAGCCTCGTTCGAGACGGCCTCCATGGTCATGGCACCGCTCTGCTCAACGGTGAGCTCGTTCCCCGCCAGCGCAACCAAGCCGGCCCGCAGCGTGCCCGAGACGGAGAGCGTGTTTACGTCGAGGAAGGAGCCTGTGGGAGAGGACCAGGTGCCGCTGGTGTGGCCGCTGTCATCCAAAGTGAGGACGCCACCCGCAGCAACGGTGACGGCTGTCAAGGGTGACAAGCTGTCCTTTGCGCGCAGGTCCACCTGGTTGTCGATGGTGAGTGTCCCGCTCACCGTGATCTGGTCCACTTCCACCCTTGCGGCCTTGGCCAGCACCGTCATCGTGCCAGACACGGAGATGGACGTGCCCACAAACTCGAGGCGACCGGCGTTGAAGGTACCGGAGACGGAGAGCGCGCCAATGTACAGGGACGAGCCCGCCTGGGCGCCCGCAACAGTGTTGTCGTGGGACACCTTGTCAAGCACAAACAGGCCATTGTTGCCCACAGTGACGGTCGTCAGGTATGACCTGCCATCGTATGCACGTATGTCTGCCTGGTTGTCCACAAGGAGCTTGCCGTTGACGGTGATCTTGGTTGCAGCAATGGCAGCGCCCTTTGCTTCCATCGTCAGGGACGCGCCGCCGCCGCCAATGAACAGCTCTGCGGTGGACAGGCCGAGCAAGCCCGCGTCGAAGATGCCGTACACCGTCAGCTTGGCCGTGGGCATGAGCGAGCCGGGGGTACCTGTCCAGTTGCCGCTCGCCGCACGCGTGGCCTCGTCAAAGAGCAGCTTGCCCGTGCCTGCGATGGTGACGTCCGTCAGGTCTGACGAGCCGTCCTTGGCGTTGAGCTGGACCTGGTTCAGGACGGTGAGGGTGCCGGCAACGGAGAGCGAGTCCGTCAACAGGCGAATGTCCTTGGCCTCCATATGCATGGTGGCAGTCGGGTCCACGGAGACGCTGCCAGCCTCAAGCGCCATCAAGCCGGCGTTGAACGTGCCCGTGACACTCAGCGCTCCGCTGATGGGCAGCGAGGAGCCAGCTGTGGAAGACCACGACGTGCTGGATGCGGCATACACGGCCGCGTCCAGGGTCAGCGTGCCGCTAACGGAGACGGAGCTGAGGTCCGAGGAGCCGTCCTTCGCATTAAAGGCCGCCTGGTTGAGGATGGTGATGGTGCCGGCGACGGAGAGGGAGTTCACCAGCACGCGGTTGTCCTTTGCCTCCATGTGTAGCTGGCCGTTGCTGTTGACCTTGAGGGCACCGGCCGACACGGAGATAAGCCCAGCGTTGAAAACACCAACCACCTTCAGGTCGCCGCTCACGGGCAGCGAGGAACCCGTGGTGGAGGACCACGACGTGCTGGACGCATCGTACACGGCCTTGTCCAGCGTCAGCTTCGCGCCGGCGCTCACCGTGACGGAGGTGAGATCGGACGAGCCATCCTTGGCTGTGAAAGCAGCCTGGTTCAGGACGTACATGGCGCCATCCACCGCAAGTGAGTTGGCGCGCATCTGCATGTTCTTCGCCTCCATGTGCAGAGTGGCGCCCGCATGGACGGTCACAGGCCCCGCAGAAATGGCAATCAGGCCCGCGTTGAACTCGCCCCGCACTGTCAGCTCACCGCTCACGGGCAGCGAGGAACCCGTGGTGGAGGACCACGACGTGCTGGACGCATCGTACACGGCCTTGTCCAGCGTCAGCTTCGCGCTGTCACCAACCGTGACGGAGGTGAGGTCGGACGAGCCATCCTTGGCTGTGAAAGCAGCCTGGTTCAGGACGTACATGGCACCGTTCACGACGAGCGAGCCAGTACGCACCTGGCTGCCCTTTGCCTCCATGTGCAGGGTGGCGCCCGCGCTGACGGTGAGCAGGTCTGTCGAAATGTCGATCAGGCCCGCCTTGAAGTCGCCAGAGACCGCGAGTGCGCCGCTGACGGCAAGCAGGGAGCCGGTCGAGGAAGACCACGTCGTGCTGCCCGCGTCGTAGACGGCCTTGTCCAGGATGAACATGGCGTTGGCGCCCACGGTGACGGAGGACATGTCGGACGTGCCGTCGCTGGCTCGCATGGCAGCCTGGTTGCTGACGAACAAGTTGCCGAGCACAGAGAGCTGCGAGGCGAGGAGCTGGTTGTCCTTTGCCGTCATGGACAGCGTGGCGCCCGCCGCCACGGAGAGCGAGTCGGTCACCAGAGCAAGCAGGCGAGCAGTCAGTGTGCCCGTGACGGTGACGGCGGCCGCATGCACAGACGAACCGTCTGCGTTGCCTTCGTCGTCGTCGTCGAGCGAGAGCGTTGCACCGCTGCTCACCATGAGCTGTGTCAGTGGGCCAGTGCCCGTCTGGGCGCGCATGCTCACGCGGTTCTCCACCGTCAGCTGCCCGTTGACAGTCAGCGTGTCGACGTGCAGCTGCTGCTGGTGCGCACGCATGGTGAGCACGGCGCCAGCGGCAACGGTGACGGAGGCGGCGCGAATTGCAATCTGGCCCGCGTTGAAGGTGCCGCTGACGGAGACGGTGGCGTCCTCAACGGTGGCGCCGATGCCAGAACTGGCCTGCGTGTTCCACGTCCCCGTGGTGTGGCCCACCTTGTCGAGGATGAGCGTGCCGGACACGTCGAGGGAGGTGAGGCCGCTGAAGCTGACAGGGTAGTTGATGTTGCAGGTGCCAGACACAGTCACGGCCTGCGCGGGCAGGGTGTCACCGGGCGTGGCAAGCTGGAGATCCATGGCGCCGCTGATGGTGAGCGCCTGCATGGAGGGCATGGTGAAGTGGATTATGCCGGGGAACATGGAGCACCCTGACGCGACCGTCCACGTGTTGACGGCAATGTCGGACGTGGAGGTGTAGCTGCCGGCGACGTAGCCGCGGTAGTCAAAGTACACCACAGACGAGGACGCGACGCTCAGCAGCGAGGCCAGTGCAGAAGCAGGCCCCGTCCACTGCACCCTGCGGTAGAAGAGGGCCTGGGATGAAGAGGTGGCTTGGAACGTGTCAATCGATGTCCCGCCCGACACGTCGGCGTGGAGGGTGGACGCAGTGAGCTCCACGGCAGGGCTGACGAGCGTGGAGATGGCGCCAAAACGCAGGGTGGACGAGGAGGTGGCCGTGATGGATGCCACGTCCACGGACCCCGATGCCGCTGCCCATGAAGGCACGCTCACCACGACGCTGAAGACGACGGAGGGGAACGCCGCGTCTGTGTAGTTGAATGTGCCTGGGGTGTCAAAGGTGTGGCGCAGGACGTTGCTTCGCGTCAGACCGGCGGAAAAACTGCCGTCTGCCGCGGCAATGCTGTGCTGTTCATTCTGCCACACCCATTGCACCGTGTCACCGGGGTGGATGTTGAGCTGCTGCCAGCCAGCGCCTGTGCTGAGCACGGCACTGTGGGTCACGGTAGCGGTGTCCTGCGCTTCAAACAGCAGCTTGGACGACGTGGCACTCACGGCAGAGGCGGACAGGAGCACGGGGCCATCGAGCAGGAAGGACGACGACGACAGCTGCAGGTCGCCGGCGCCGGTGCAGCTCACAGACCAGGCCGAGGCCGGGTTACCGCGGCGCACGACGAATGACGCGTCGGTCAGTGTCAGTCCTTTGGTGCTGATGCCCGTTGTTGGCGAGGAGGCGGCCAGTGTGACAGCAGTGCCAGCGCCCGTGAAGCTGAGCGCTGGCGACTGCGGCGTTTCCAAGGCACCGTCAATGGCGAGCACGCCCACCACATCAGCGCTCTGGCTGGATGAGAGTGTGAGCGTTGCGCCTGTGGCAACGGCGCTGCGGGCATGGATGTTTCCGGACACGGTCACGTGCTGCGTTTCCATGACGTGGAAGAAGCCAGAGGAGCCTGTGATATCGTCAAAGGCGACAGAGGCCGCTGCGCCCTGGAACACGACCACAGCACCGGAGCGGATGTTCAACGTGGACACCTCGCCATTCCACAGCGTCGGGTTGTACAGAAACGCAGTGTCTGCCAGTCATTATTATGATTGACGGATTGCCAGTGGTGGTGGTGGTGATTGCCAGTGGTGGTGAGGAAGACAACCGTGTAACCAAGCGTGGGGGCAAAGAAACAGAGGCAGAGCGGGATACATGAAGCGTCTTCACATCATCGTCTTCACACTATTCTTCACACTATCCTTCCACGAACGTTCACATTCGCCCGCTCGCGCACACGCTCAAACGCAGAGAGCCACACCTTCGTAGGAGCTGAGCCAGGCAGTGTAGTCTGTGCTGGGCGTGAAGTCCGTTGGCCGGAAGCGATGGCCAGCATCGACGGCCAGGACTTGCTGCTGCTTCAAATGGATGATTCCCGCACCACCGCTGCGAGAGCGTTGTGTTGCTGTACATGCGCACGTACGAGTGATGAAGGGATGGAGGTGGGTAGGAGTGAGCAGACGGGCACGTACAATCCAACGGGTGTAAAACAAGCAAGCAGAGGGGAGGTAAGTCAACGCAAACACAGCCAAGGCAAGTGGCATCAAGGAAGGTGACAGTGGAGTCAAGGAAGGTGGCATCGAGACAAGTGTAACAGTCCATGCAGTCCGTGTGTTGAAACGTCAAGTTGCCGCACACGCTCACACCTACTCAAAAGCCGCAGCACCTATCACTCACTCACTCACACGCGCGCACGCGCACACACACACACACGCACGCACGTGCATGGAAATGCTTACGCTCTGTGACGGTGATGGTGAAGCTGCAGTACGTGGCAGAAACTGCATCAACAAAGTAGACCACATTGGAGCCGATATGAAACTTGGAGTTGGGAGCAATGGAGGACTGCACGCCGACGGGAACGGAAAAGTCCACAACCGCATCCAAGCGATCTACGTCCGCTTCGACCGTCATGTCGCTCGGGCAGGAGGCAAGGCCTTGAGTCAGCTGCGTCGCCACCACCATGACCGTCATGGTGCACGTGTCAACATCGAGCGACCCGTCCTTAGCGTTGAAGGTGACGGTGTGCGTGCCAGAGGAGAACGTGGCTGGAGAGGATGTCTGTGCTTGCACCTTTGTTTGCGGCCAGACCGCATCAGCTGTCTGGGCCACAGCGCCTGAGCTGTCTGTTGCCACGGGCGCCTCAAACGCAATTGTAGCGCTTGGCGAACCATGATGCAGCTGGTTCTCTGGGCACCTGCCCACACAACACGCGGCGTGCGGCGACAAGGAAGCAAGGATGAGGTGAAACGAGAAATGAGCTCATTTTGAGGTGGTGATGAGGCATGGATAGGGAAACATGAACAGGAATACGAGTCGAGAGGCAAACATGCATGCTTGTGTGCATGCATGCACCCGCAAGCACACAACGTGCACACCCATGCATGTACATGCACGAGTGCACGCAGACAAGCGCACCCGCCCGCACGCACAGACAAGCGCACACGCGTACGCAGACACGTGGGTACAAAGAGGGGGGGGGGGGAGGCGTACCCGTTGCGAAAAAGAGCTGTTGGGCGAACTGGAAGGTGCTTTGCAGACGAGGAAACCTCCGTCGGGTAGCCAAGGACATCCATGCGAAGGCCGACATTGTAGCCACCAAGCGGGTACACGCGGACACAGCGGGCGAACACGGGCTTGAAGCGGTTTACAACACGCGTGTCCGGGTCGGAGTCGCCCCGGAACGTGATGTCGACGCCGTCCTCCGCATAGGTGGTGAACTGCGAGCAGTCGGTCGAGTACTTGACCTGGAACTGCCGCGTCACGTAGTTGTTTTGCGTGTTGCCTGCAGTATGAAGCCAAGAAGGACAAACAAGGGCACGTGAGCTGGGCGTGCACAACGGTGTCCGCGCAGCTTGAGCTTGTGGATCTCACGGTGTGTGCAAGTGTTTGCATGTGTCAGAATACATGCACCAGGACAGTGTGTGCGCGTGTGTGCAAAGTGTGCGCGCACAAACCATGCAAAAGAGAGTGGCGGTCACTGTACGTACCTTGGGTGACGACGCCAGATACAAGGTACGTGCCCTGCAGGTTGACTTGCACATAGGGGTTGCTGTCGCCCGAGTTTGGCGTCCAACCACCGGCGTAACGGAAGCTGTCGATGACTTCGTACGTGGCGTCGAGGAAGGCGCGGGAAGCAGCGTAGTAGTAGCTCTGCAAGCGATTGTACTTGTCGTAGTAGTTGCTTGCCTTGCGCTGTGTTGAGGCGGTGTACGTGCCGATGTTATGTTCCTCGTTGAAGAGCTCATCCGGCGCTATTTGCAACACCACAACAGAAGCGTGCAATAAGTGAGGAAATTCAAGTGAGCTTGCACGTGAGATGTGGTCACGGGCAAGGCAAGAAGGCAATAGAGGATGCGTGTGTGTGTGTGTGTGTGTGTGTGTGTGTGTGTGTGTGTGTGTGTGTGTGTGCGGCTTATTGTCGTTGTTGTGCGTGAACGTGTGGTGCACAGTGCACTAAAGCATCAGCGCCCTGCTCACATGATGACACAAAAAGACTTGAGACAAGTACGCAAGCTGGTTTTGTTGACAGGGAGACGCACCTCCAAGACCGCCAAAGGTCTGAATGAACGCCGTGTTGAATGAGACGGAGGCCGCATCCACGTACACTTCACCACCAGCACCGGCGCCACCCTTTGCAGAGGCAATGCCGCCGTTGGCCTGCACGGAGGCCGATGTACTTGAGCCTTGCAGGGTGTCGCAGGCGAGGCGGATGCTACCACCGGAGCCCGAACCTGCACCGTCGGTGGAGGCCTGCTGGCCGTTGGCTCGCACGTGGCCATCGAGGGTGAAGGTTCCCATGACCTGGAGATCCACCACGCCGCCGCCCAGGCCTGCGCCGAGGCCATTGGCGTCCTCGCCACCAGCAACACCGCCCTTGAGTTGGATGGTGTCCTGCGGAGCGATGGGTGCCTGGAGCGTGCTGGAGTGGCCGCCGCTGGACCAGAACGAGCCACCGGGCGCCGCCTGCCCTTGTGAGGCGGAAGTCGCCGCGGTTGTGCAGAACCGTGGGAGCGGCTCTGCCTCAATGGTGGCGTACTCTGACAGGGTGAGGTCACCGTTGACGGTGGCTCGCGGGTACGTGCAGCCGTTGGGGCGCATGGTCACGACAACGTCGTCTGCGATCGTGACGCTGCGTGGGAAAGTGTGATCTGCGCTGATGTCGCAGGACGTGGCTATGCGATCCAGTTGGCCGTTGACTGTCTGAAGAGTGCAAGTGGACGCCGCGCTGGTGGCCGAGCACGAGCTGAGAACAACGAGCAGGACCGCAACCATCGCTGCGCGCAGCGTGCGCCATGTGCGGCGCGAGCCAACCACGGCAGTCGCAGCGTCCTTGTGCGGTGACTGCTGTCGCTGTTGGCGTGGTCGTGTATTTGACTTGCTGCACGGCCTGGACAGTGGTGGCCGTGGGTTGTTGTGTCTGGAAGGCCACACAGCAGGGGCGGACGATCCTCGGCTCTCAGGGCGAGGATGGCCGTGCCCGTGTGTGGGTGTGGGCAGCGTGTCCCCGCCACCATCGGGCAGGGTTCGCAGCATCATTGTGCCGACGCTCTGCTGCGCCGGGCTTGCTTTCTGCTGCGTACCTTCTCGTGTCCTGCGGATGGTCAATCGCAGGCTGCACACTAACAGAAGTGGGGAGGGGGGAGATGCACAGGGGGGAGGGGGAGGAAGGCGTCAGGCACGTTGCTGTTGAAGAACACGAGTCAAGTCCACAGTGGGTGAAGACGTGCAGTGCACTCGTGCAAAAGTGACAGGAGGGGAGACGAGAACAAACGGGAAGGGTGTGGGAAAAGGAATGGGTCGCTGACACAGCAGCTACAATACAAGCGAGTGGATGTGGGTGGGAAGGGGGGAGAGAGTGTGTGTGTGCCTTCTTTCTTCCGAGCAACTCAACACACGCACACACGCGCAAAGCCAAGGGCAAAGAGCGAGTAAGCGTGAGCGGGAAACAGAGTTTGGAATGAGAGATGGCGGAGATGGAGCCAATGTGAAGAGCAGAAAAAAAAAGTCAACACCCCACAACAAAAACCACGCAAACACCCACGCACAGAACACAGCGGAGGCGATGGCGCTGCTTGTGTTTCGTGCGGCTTCCTTTGCCTGCAGGCACACAAACAGCAAAGCAAAGAGCAAAGCAAAGAGCGTTCGCCGCCACCGCAAGAAAAAAAATTCTGTCCTGGGAGCTGTCGATAATTTGTGAATATCTTTTATGTAGAAAATTGCACATGGGTCCGCCATCCCCAAACAACGCAAGTTGCACATGTCGAGGTGGGCGAGGGAGGTGTGTATGTGTGTGTGTGTGTGTGTGTGTGTGTGTGTGTGTGTGTCTGCGTGTGTGTGTATGTGTGTATGTATGTCTGCTGTAGCTCTGTGTGTGTGTGTGTGTGTGTGTGTATCTGCTGTAGCTCTGTGTGTCTGTCTGCTGTAGCTCTGTGTGTGTATCACCATGTGTGTGTGTGACGATCGGGTTGCTTGCTTCTCTCAAGCTCCTTCACGTCATGCACAACAACCACAAACTCCACACGCTGCGCACGCTGCGCACACACGGACTCCCCCCCCCTTCTCTCTCTCTTCTGTCTCTCAATCCATCTCATCTGCGATGGTGTCTGTGACTGCTGCTGCTGCTGCTGGCGCTGCTTGGGCCCCTGCCGCGGTCCCGGTCCCGGTCCCGGTCCCGGCTGCGGTGGTGCGTGCTGCTGTCCTTGCGCCGGCGGATGTTGAGCGGGTTGCGGGGGTCGTAGATATCAAGGCTGTTGGGATCCAGCTCAGGGTCGATGCCCTTTGGTGCAGTCTCAACCTCGTTGGTCAGCTTGTGTTGCATCCTGCACACGTGTGCGTGTGTGTGTGCGTGTGTGTGTGTGTGCATGTTTGTGTACGTGTGTGTGAGTGTGTGTGTGCATGTTTGTGTACGTGTGTGTACGTGCGTGCGTGTATGTGTGTGTGTGTGTGTGTACGTGTGTTTGTTCACGTTTGTGTGAGTGGCACAAGATATTGGGTGACAAAGAAGAAACGCTCAAACACGTGGAACGCGCGCCAAAGGACATCGTGCGCCCACGACATCAAAACCACGCCCCCCCCCCCCCCAAAAAAATGTCACCTCTCCTCACCGCCATTACCCACCATGTTGTGTCGGCGACCTCGTCCGAAAGATCGTCCACACCTGGTGGTGCTGTCACTGCTTCTGTATCGCTTACAGCTGGCGCCAATGCACTCCCGCTCCCACTCCCGCTCCCACCGCCACTGCTGCTGCTCGCGCTTCCGCTGCCCGCACGGCTGAGCTTGTTGCGGAACTTGGCCAGCAGCGCAAGCGTCTCGCTCTCCCGATCTCCGCGCTTCTTCGCACGCCGTGACTTGCCCCTGCAGTCATGTGTGCGTGTGCGCGTGTGAACGCACTGGCGAGAACACAACAGCAACTACTACTACTACGACTACTACTACTTTGTGCAAGCATCAAAACTGGTTTGGCCGTGAACAGAGCCCCCCCTTTCGACCAACACACACACACACACACACACACACACACACACACACACACACACACACACACACACACACACACACACACACACACACACACACACACACGCACGCACACGCACACGCACAACGTACTCCTTCAACAGCTGAGCGCGCTCCTGCGAGAGGAATGCGCTGGCCTCAGACATGGGCTTGGCATCCTTTCCCTCGCCAGCGCCCCCATCACCATCGTGGCCGCTCTTGGCCTTCTTCAGCTCCCGCTTCAGCTCATCAGCCTCCTGCAAAGGAGGGTTGTGGTGATGGGAGGGGTGGCAGCGTTGGTGGTCAGGCAGAGCGGTAATGGGGAGGCGGGTAACACGTGAGGAGGACGAGATGGGGGAAGGGAGGGGGCTTCAGCAGAGCAAGCGCAATGAATTCGCCAGAAGTGGCACCACACTATGTCACGTCAAATATAGGCACACAACCACAGCCAACAAATAAACACCACACAACACAACACAACTCAACACAACTCAATACAACAACTCAGCACAACTCAACAGAACAGAACACAACACAACACAATACAACTCAACACAACAACTCAACACAACACAACACAACTCAATAACCACAACACCACACAACACAACTCAACACAACAACTCAACACAACACAACACAGTACACGACCACGCGATTGCACTCACGCACCCGCTTGATGGTTTGCAGTCGTTCCTCTGCCTCACGTGCGGCCTTGACATGTTCCGGCTCACGTGGCTTTGCATCATCGGCACCACTGCGCCGCGTGCCTTTGCTCACGCGCGCCCTGGCCTCCTTCTTCACATCGTCTGCGTCTGCTTCCAGGATGGAGCGTGTCGCTGCCTCAGAGTCGCGTGCGGACGCAAGACGCTCATCCTGCAGCACGTCGTGGCTGCTCTTCAACTTGCCCAGCTGTCAGTGGAAGTGGAAAGCAGGAATCAGTGCACAGCAGCAGGAAGAGTGAAGTGTAAATCAAAGGATAACGACCCCACAACGATAAATTCCTGCTTGCATGCCAAGCCAAGACACACACACGCGCGCGCGTGCGCAGGCGTTGCAACCATGTGCGCACACAGTCATGTGCACTCGCACGCACACACGCACGTACCTTCTTGGTGGACTCATGTATAACTTGTTCATCCTCTTCGGCCTCTTCACCAAACGACATGAGCTTGAAGTCTTTCACCGCCTTGACACGTGCTTTCCTACGCCGCCTTCGCTTCGCCTCGCTCTCCTCATCCTGCTGCGGCACGCGCGGCGCCAGCTTCCGTGGTACAATGTCGTCAAACGGATTGCTCAGCACCTCCGTCTGCAAGCATGAGCGCATGTGAGTGTGTGTGCGTGTGTGTGTGTGCGTGAGTGTGTGTGTGTGTGAGTGTGTGTGTGTGTATGTGTGTGTATGTGTGTGTGTGCGCGCGATTCAAGGTGCGTCTACAAACGTGGCAACAAGTTAAGC